GAACGTTGGGCAAGGAAGTTGGGAGTGATCGGGGGGGGGGGGATTCCGGACATTTTTAATATCAGTTGCAGTATTTTTGCTTGCAGCTCGTTATGAAGGTCCATAACAGTTCCTTTCCATCTCTGAGTGGCAAATACTCGTGTGGGGATTTATTGGGCTCTCAGTTATCACTCGGTCACAAGTGCAGCCACCTTAATCAATGACAGGGCCATGGCCTGCAGCCAAGGAATGCTCCGAGCCCCACGCTGCCTGCACCGGATGACTTTTACCACCAAGGCAATATTTTTTCCCCTTATAAAACTCACAAAACAAGTATTACAGGATGTTTTAATCAGCACAAGCAGATGGTTCCCTGCACCCCGACCCGGCAGAGGGCTGTGCAGCAGGTGCCAGGGTCTGCACTGGGCCGTGTCCTTGCCCCCGTGTGCTGGCACTGGGTGTACCAGTGCCTTGGGCACTCCATGGAGTGGCACTTCCAGGCTGAAGGTCTCCACCAGGGGTTATCCCAGCTGCCTGCTGCCAGGCCAGGGGGTTTTGGAGTGGAGAAAGGGTTTGGTTAGGTGCCCTGGCAGAGACCTCCTGGGCACAGCATCGCCCACCCCAGCCCAGCTCACAGTTAAAAAGCATGACATAAAAAAATGCAGCTGTTTACATTCTTTTAGCCTTTGAAAAATTTTAGATCTATCTGTCTGATTAAAAAAAAAAAAAAAGCTTTTTTAGATGTGTTTACTTGGTGCAGAAATTGCCTGGCATTTCAGGCATAAATAAAGTACACCAGCAATTTGGTTATGCATCTTGCAGCTTTTTATTTTTTTTAGCATCTCCCAAAGTAATGTATTGAGAATCTCAGTTTTCAGTGGTGCAAAAAGAAGAAAACTGCCATAGTCATTACAGTTGCTGAGAAGTGAATGAAAATAAAAGCCTTAAAGACACTCTAAGCTGAAGGTAAATACAGACAACAGGGTTTTAATATAGGGTTTAAATATAGGGCTTTAATAGACAAACCCAGTGTTTGTCTGTTAAAAACAGGAAAATGTTAGGAGGCCTCAACCAAAGTACTCTAGTTCCATCAAGAATCATTCAAGGATTTGTTATTATTATTAATATTGGTTGATAGCAATAGTGGAGCTACAGTGATCCCTCTAAGATGTCTCCAATTTCATGGCAAGAGAGGTCTTGCAGTCAACCTTGACTGTAATATATCTTCTTTTCTCTTCCTCGTCTCATCTATTAATATTCATGATCTCCAAAATAAAAAGCATTAATTCACCACTAAGTTCCTTAAGCAAACTTTGCAGTTGATAAATCCAAGCCCGTGAGCTTGGTTTCATTCTGTTGAGTTAGTTTTGTGTGTGGATTTAAGGACTGTTGAACCTGTCACGACATCTCCAGAACTGTACAGCATGAAGGAGGGAACACAGACTTCCCCCCACAACCCTCCTCTGCTACACTACACAATTCTGGGTGGTTTTAGAAGGTTCTTTATTTCCAACAACTATGTGTGCTCATCAAAAGCAGTTTGTATTGGAACTTCTTTCTCCCCAACTTTTCATTAGACACACACAATACTGAGCTATTTACACTTTATTTTTAATAGCTACAGCAGAAGATTCTGCTCTGCACACCCCAGTGCACACAATAAAATAACTGTTTGGCAGGGGGAAAATGCCCTCTTGTCTTGCAGTACCAGTTGGTATTATGGAGGTTTGTTCGGTGTCTTATTTATAGTAGATTGTGATTGGAAATGTGATACAAAACAAACACCAATGTTCCAGTGCCTTAACCGTGCATCAGATTTTTACTCTGACAGTTATTTTTATTTTCATCATCTTTTATCATGACTTGAGAAATTACAACAGCGCAGGGGATGGTCCATCTGCTGAGGTCTCAGCATCCATGCTCTTAAAAGAGAGATAATGTTCCAGGTCCTACCCTCCAGGAATGCTCCCGGGCAGATTTGTAGTTGTGCTGATGCTCCTTTACAGTGCTGGTAGAGAGAGTTCATTCCAGTCGTGAGACCTCGTGCTAGCAGTGAGAATCCTGTGAATGGAGAGTTTATAACAGAGTTTGCTTCAACAGAGAGTTTGCTTCTCTGTTGATTTATGTTTTTTTTTTTCTTATTGCATATCAAAAGCACTTTTTTTAGTGTTTGTTTAAAAATCTGGTTTCCTTTAAAGAAAAGGGGGCCCAGGTTTTGACACTCCTGAGGGCTGCTTGCAGTGATCTTTCTCATTGTTTTGGCTCTTGCTGACCTTTGGCTGGGCTTATGTTTGTGTGTGCAGGTATGTGTATGTGCTCCAGGTGTATACAGAACGTTCATGCTTCAATACCTCCACTCTTCCTCTCCAGCAGTGAGGGATTCAGTGGAATTTTCTTTTTTGCAGGGATACAAAAATGCACAAAAAGCACATTTTTTTTAGAAGTGGCAATCCTACTAAGGCGAGTATTTTGTAGAGAAATGGTGTCCAAGTATTTCTAGTCAGATTTCAAATAAAATCCTAATTGGTTTTCTCTCTTTTGGTCTGCTGTGGTTTCCAGCTCCTACCTTCGTGCATTACTAAGCAATAAACATGTCTTGGCTCACTTACTGGCTCTTTGTTGTGTGTGCTTCCAACATGTGTGAGGGAAGCCTTCCTTCAGGAGAAAGACTGAAAAAAACTCGTTAAGGCAGAGAAGACCAAAAATGAATCATTTCATTACTTTTTAGCCTGCGGTTGGAGCAAACTCTGTTGTCTGCTCGGTTTAAAATCAGATGATTTATACCCAAAAGGTGCAGATGAGCCTCTGCAGTGGTTTTAAACGTTTTCAGAAATGCCTTTGGATAAAATGAAGGGAGAAAATCTTTTTGGTGCTGTTTAGTTTTGAGGGTTTTTTTGGCTTACCTATGTTTAAGGATGTGCCACTGCCCTGGTCAGGCATGGGGATCTACAGAAAGTCCAGGGCTCAGGGCTGTTGGATGTGGTTGAACATCATCACCCACATCTTTCCCATCTGCAGTCAGGTGGATGTGCATGGGTACTGAAATATCTCCCTGGAAGGGGATGGGCTGCAGCAGGAGATTTTGACAGTTCTATTTTTTTAATTTAAGTGTTTTTCTGAACTAGAATCATATTACCAGCTTTGTTTTTCAAGCTCATATTTATACACACACACACAAAAGAAAGCCTTCACCCTTTCAAAGAGATGCCTGGATATACACCTAGAGAAGAGGATGGTGCATATCTCATCTTACAAAGGCCTGAGTGTTTTCTTGGATATGGGTATGGTGTATGAACAAACACTGAGTATCTGAAGTCCTTCCTCAAGCAATAAATATTCACTGATCTGGCTAAAGCACTGTTTACTCTCCGAACAATCTGAGTCTGTCTCTATTTGCAGAGAAATTCCTTCCAATATTTTTCCTGGTCAGTTGTTGGATGGAGGCTGGGTCTGCTTTCAAAGCACTTGTCTTTAAAGCGCATCAGGTTACCCTGAGGTAAAATGGAAACCTTAGATGTTACTCCTGTAAATAAATGTTTACATAATACATGGCACCGAACTTCTCAGCATTGCATGTCTAAGAAAAAAGGTCACTTTTGACATCAGTAACCTTTAGAGAGTGGTGCCTTTGCCACACAGGTAAAGAAAGTTACTGTGCACAGCACATTCCTCACTAGATCAAGAAGGTAGGAGAAGTCAGCTGTTACTGCTTACATCTCCCAAAGCTTGGCATTTTAAGCTTTGAAGGCAAGACTTGGGTTTAAGGCATGGGTCTCCTGTAAACAGCACATGCCCAATTTTGCTCATGTGAGTAATTCCATTGAATTCCCTGGCACTAGAGGGGTATGAAAAGCCAAGTCTGTAATGTATGTGTTTGTGAGGCCAGGGCCTCAACTCTTCATTTCTAAATGAGAAACTTCCTGTAAAGCATTCATGGTAACAAAAGATAATGGTTTTATCTCTCTTTAGGTTTGCCGCTTTTGCGTCAAAACACTTGCCCAGCACCAAACATAAAAACATCACCTTCCTATAAAACAGCAGCAAAACTGCTGTGGTGTGAATAGATGAAGGATTTCTGCCTGAACTTAATCCAGATGTGTAGAAGAAGAAGGAGTTTGGTGTTCCCCTGTGGAATCCATTCCACAGGGCAAACAACAACTGGACTCTTGGGATTGTTGGGTGTTGGGGGCAGAGCCCACGAACAAGTGCATCAGCTCACCCACTCTGTGATACAGGGGTACCATCAACAGTGCTGTGCTTTGGGTTGTGGGATGCAGTGGAAAGGAGATCTTGATGATAAATGCGTTTTTGCTGCTTTTCTGTTTAAAATATTGGCAAAACCTGTAGGTTTTCAGATGCTGCAAAAAAAAAAGTCGAAGTAGGATTTATGATGTTGCAGCCTTCTGCCTTAATATATTAATTGAGTTTTATTCAAGGAATGCAGAATGAGTGATTAGCCCCACATATGCCCGTGACAAGACTTTTTATGGCTTTTGATGTGCATTGCGTTTTTGGATTGCCCAGTTCCTTTGTCACTTCCCTGTCCAGCTCTCTCATTCCTCCCCTACCATTTAAAGATAAAAAGTTTGTTCAACATCAGTCGCTGTCGTGATGCCTGGGCAGCCTTCCTCGCATGGCAGGAGCAGTCAGGGAGCCTTGTTTACACCAGTGGGGCCGGTCGGGTTTTCTTCGGGGGCATTATTTCACATATTTAATTCCCCCCCCCCCCCCCCCCATCCCATTGTCTCGCATGGTCGCGGTGCCTCCCGTGCAATATTAATGAGCCCCCGCCGGGCGCACAGTGCTCCCTTTGTTCGGGCGCCGGGGAGGGGACGCGGGCGGGGATGGGGCGGGCGGAGCGGCCGGGGCAGGGGGCGAGCAGGGGGCGAGCAGGGCGGCGGGGCCGAGGGCCCGTCCCTGAGGGCGCGGGGATGGCGGCGGGCATGGCGGGCATGGCGGGCGCAGGTGGCCCGCGCTGACGGGCGGTCACATGATGGCGGTGAGCGCCGGCCCGGCCCGCGGCCCCGGCGCTGTGCGGGCTGTGAGGGGAGCGGGGGTTCCGCCCCGCTGTGACCCCCGGGCGGGCCGAGCGCCCTGGCCGCGGCTCTGAGGGGCAGCGCGGCTGCCAGGGGACCGTGTCATGAGACCGAGCGCGGGGACGCGGACGGAGGGACGGACGGGGACGAGCCCGGGCAGCGCTCGGCGGCCCCGCGGGTCGCGCTGAGCTCCGCCGGGAAGGCACAAAGCGGCGGCGGGGCCGGGCACCGCTCCCCGGGCGGGACCCGCGGATGGAGGGGCAGCGGTGGGGTTCTGACACTGCGGGGCAGCGCCAACGCTGCCTGGGGCAACCCCCGGAGCCGCTGCCCTTAAGGTGGTTTTCGTGATCCTGTTGCTAGGATTAAGCCTTTTGCATTGCAGCACGGAGAGTCTTTTGTTTGAGTTAAATTCAGACCTCTTGATATGTCACCTGACAGTCTTGTGGTTTTGGATGAATATGGCTCATTGCTATTATTAACCTGAGTTGGCAGCCGGGCACAACAGGAGTTTATAGGGATTTCGAAAAGTGGAACTGTTCGGGGGACAAAGATGCTTCCCAGGTACGGTCACTGCACACTTCTTGAGATTATTTTGATTTTTCGAAAGCTTATTATTTTCCCTGTGATGAAAATATTTCTTTTCCGGATACGTGAAGCTTTTACAGATTTAATTTTTTAAATTATTTTTATTATAATTTCATGCTGAACGGCACGAATAATTTTTTTTCCTGAATTGATTCTATCTGTTGTAATTTTGCAAAGGGAAGTGCAGTCTGCTTGAATAATGTAAAACATTGTGTTCAGTGCCAGTGAATTTAACTGAAATGAGCTGTGTCTCGCTTGTGTGTGGTTTTAATTAAAACAGGTATTTCAAAAGAGCATGGGGCTTGTGTGTGTATGTGCAAATATTTGCATGCATATGTTTGCCTAAATCAGCTGAAAGCTGAGCAGGTGATCCTTAAAATGACGTGAGGTAGTCCGAAAAATATTTTATGAAATTACTAATACTGATTGTAAATTCTGAAGCTGTGTGAGTTGCAAAGTTACTCAACATGCTGCACATCTTAAACAAAACCTTCCCACCCATTTATTTTCGATATTACACTCCAGATTATGATTAATGTATTGACTAGGCTGCACTTAACCTGTAAATATTATGTCTTTTTGCTTGTGGAAAGGCATCTGGCTCATCTGTTAGACTTTAGAGTATAAATTAGGTATCTTAATGAGAGTCAAGTGACTTGGTGGAAGGGAGAAAAAAATGAAAACAAACTAAAGTCAGCTTTGTATACAGTTAAAGAACTGGACATAGCCAAGGAACTTGGAAGCCAGTTGAAGTCCAGGTCCAGATTTATTTACTGCCTGTGACATACCTGGCTGATGCACTCTGTGCCTGGTGTACAATATGTGCTTAGGATAAGCAGCACAAGTTTCCTGGAGCTCAAGAAGTGCAGCTATTCCAGGTGAGGATTGCTAAGCTGGTAAATGACTGAGCCAGACTTAGGGATGGAGCAGGGAACTGACCTCCACAGCAGTGCCGTGCCTGTGGACGGGTCACCCTCCTTCAGGAGAGGAAAAGGGGAGAGCTTGGATTTAATTTATGGCAAAGAAACATTGTTCCCGTGTGATAAACCTGAAACGTGTCCCCGCTGGGAGCAGTCAAGGTTGGCTGTCCCTGGGGCGATCCAGAATGTGTCTGCTCTTCCAGGCTGTCCAGAACACAGGTCCTGTGACTTCTGTGAAAGCCTGGCTGAGGTCATGGTGGCAGAGGGCAGTGTCACCCGAGCACTGGGCGAGCTCCTTCGCAATCCACCCTCCAGGGCTCCTCCCTGGCCCTGGCCAGGCACAATCCCTGGTTTTCTGTGCAGAATCAGCAAGTGTTCACCACCAGTCACTCAGCCCTGACGTGACCTCAGCTCTCGTAAAGACAATTATCTTGCAAAATTTTTGCTAAGTATGGGCCCCGTGGTTTCTCTGCTTTAGGGATCTTCTTCCTCCTCACAGCCTTATGGTTGTGTTATGTCACCAGCACTTCAATGCAATCTCTCTCTTAAAATGCCAGCTTTGCAAATCGGTGGTGCTGCCTGGATCATCCTTGTCATGTGAATCCTGAGAAAGTTCTTTTGCATTTCAGGTGTTATTGCTAAAAAAAAATAAATAACCTGCCCATACCTCTAAAAAGAGATGGTCTTCAAAGGTGGAAGCTTTATTAACATACAGTACAGTTCTGTTTTCATTGCTTCCAAATTAGTTGTGCTCTTTCAGAACGGTCTATGCAGCTGTTGTTGTACAATAATGGTCAAATAATAAGTGAATTATTTAAATGCAATAAGAAGGTATTAAAATATGTACAATACCCTCTCCAGGTATCCTATATACTTGACTTTTTTTGTGTCTTCTCAAAGCCAAAAGACAGAAAATCCAGTAACAGAATAGAAATCCGCAGAGGAGTTTGGGCAGGAGAAGGGAATTCCTTGTTGGAAAAGGCATCTCAGTCAGGGGTGAGAGGAGTATGATAGGGTGGCTGGACCAGGCAAGGACCATTTTCCTTCTGCATCTGATCACCCTTCCCTACAACAAAGCAGCTGCAGGATCCTAAAGGATACTGGGCTGTGTAGGTCCAGGTGAGCATGCTTTGATGTGGAACCTGGAGACAACCTGTGTCTGAAATCCCAGCGCACCCAGTGGAACAGTCCTGTATTTACAGCAGCTCTTCAAGGCAGGCACGGGCTCTGTCAGGTGCTTGTGTGGAAGCTGGCTGGGTCTGAGCACCTGCAGCAGTGACAGTCCCTGGAGAGTCGTCTGCAGGAGCTGCAGGTGAGCCCTGGGATCCCTGTGCCCGTGTCCTGATGCTCCTCCAGCAGGAGCCTGCGAGGGGAGCGCGGGGCGAGGTGGACCCACGGCTGCTCTGCCTGGCTGTTCTGTCACCCTCTAAAAAGGTGCTAACATGAAAACCACGCAGAACAGATAAGCTGGCATAAACTATAAATATCATTTGCGTAGATGCATTTAAAAATAGTTCCAAGTGATTCATCACCAGGCAATTTTTATAACTATGGGTAACATGATGTAGGAAAACAATAGTTTGATAGTTTCAACTTACTTTTTCAATGTTTAGTCACGTTCTGGTTTTGAGCAACTTTACTTTTTAGAAAACTCTTTTTACAATTCCTGCCTTCTTAATACCTTGATCAGTTTGCCTCAATTGCTTTTCTTTATGACTTCTAAAATATCCGTGTTTATTAAAAAGTAATTGATACTATCTAAGCTGTGTTAATATGAAATAGTTTTAAAACTGAAGTCTCAGGCAGAAGAAAAAGTAATACTAAGCTAAACCTTTCATGTAATGAAGAAGTGCTGTTTGTATTGAAAGTGGGAATGAGGAGGAAGGGAGGTACTTGCATTCAGTTACAGGGGAAAGTCCTGTATTTTAATTGATGGAGGGGTAATGAAGGATTTCTGTGTCTGTTGTTTCATCTATTAAAACTTGCCCAGAGTGAAATAATACCAATTTACAGTCACTCAGTTCTTGCTGAGAAGTGTTGATGGCAGTAGTAAACTCCAGGAACTGGATACACAGGAAAATCCATCCTTGGAGAGCATTTGGAGTTCTGGATTGCCATGAATCTCACAGTACAGGTGTCAGGAAGCACGTCATGGATCTATAAATGTAAACTACAGGTAATATTCCTAGTGATTGAAGGTAAAAAAGGCAGGAAAACAAAAAGGGTGAAAGAGGTGAAGAGCTGAACAACAGTAGGGCTTAAGTGTGAACATGCATTAAAATATCATTTTTCAGGCCCTGATTTTGTTATTATTATTTTCTAATAATTTCATTGTTAATCATGTGGAAGTCTTCCATTCTGTCCCAAACAATTCCTTCCTTTTGCACTTTGTACTTGCATTAGCATCAGTGCAGGGGGGTTGGACTCCAGAAATCCCTTCCAACCTTGACCAGTCTGTCACGGTGTGAGATCTGGGTTTATGTGATTTGTTTCTGAGACATCTGATACAGCATTTATGCATCAAGAGATTCCTACCCCATACAGGTATTTTTGGACATGTCATTCTAGAAGAATCCCCACGTGTAGTGGAGGTCTCTCAGGAGCAGTGTCCTGCTCAGAAGGAATTTGTTTTTAGTTTTGCTCTCCCTCCATGAACTCACAGCATTGTGTGGAAAATGTCTTTGATATTTGGGGTTTTCTTGGCGGTGGTTTCTGTGTGTTTTTGTTCTGGATTTGTTTTTGTGTTTTCCTTTAAATCTAATTGAATTCAAGGAAAGATCAAAGAACGGCAGACAGGTCAGGCAGGGAAAAGTCCTCATTAAGAAACTGTCATTTCCAGAGCAGGGTGAGAGATGGAGACTCACCTTTCATTAACATTGCCAGAACATCTGATTCTACGTCTCCTGGTTTTCCTGTAAGAATCTCAAGAAAACATCAGTTAAATGTCAAAGTTAGTTTCCATTTATAAACAGAACTAATTATATTCAGAAGATCTAGGTCAGTTTTCATCTGCCTGAAGAGGAGGGCTGGAGTGCTGCCCTGGTATATTTGTTTTGAGAACTCGCCCTGCCTATTGCATGCAGGAATTTCTCTGTTTCTGGGGATAATCTATGCAGATATCAAGCTTAACGGTATTTTAAACCTGCTAACAACAAAAGCAAAGCTACTCTGTGTCCTGCTTCTCCCTGGCCGGCGGGGGTGAGTCGGAGGTGCCAGGCTGCCTCTGTTTACTGTCTGCCTAAATGAACTTTCCCCCAGCTCTTGGAAAGGCTTCTCTGCTTTGGGAAGTGGCCCCCTCTTGCCAGGGAATGTTTTTGCAAGGCTGAAATGTGCTTAAGGATGCTATTATGTAACAGAGATAACGCTTCTCTGGAATTATCACAAATTATGATGGATAATAGCTACTAAATGCTTGTCTAGAGAAAGTTAAAATGTCATGTGAAGAAGCTGAGAAGTAAACAAGCTCCTGTTACCTTGATCAGATATGTTTCTGAATACACCAGGAGTTTTATATTTAGCTTTCTCTCCTCTTAGTGTGTAATCTGCTCTTGGAGCTTTTTATAAGTAGACTTTCCTAAGATCTGGAACAGCTACTGCCCTTCTTTGCCAGTAATTTCAAAGTCAAATATCAACAGTACTAGGTAATGGAAGACATGCTTTTGTCCGAGTGTGAAGGAAATTCAAATGCGTTGCAAGTGTGGAGCAAGTGATAGCACCTTTTTGGCCAGCAATTCCTTGTTATTGTCACACACTGCTTCTTTATAGGAACCACAGTGGCCTATCTGGAAAAAAATATTAGTTTCTGGACTTCCCCTGATTTCATTTAAAATGTCATTCATTTTTCATATATGGAGGCTGTTCTTCCAGGAAGCCAGTTTATCCAGTGGTTCTCCCCACCTCCAGCCAAAGTCATGCTCTTACCAGTTACCATCCCCCAGCATTAGTGCCTTCAAGCCTCTTGGTTGGTAACACCCCAGACATGTATAAAACCAGGGATTTTGTTTTCTTTCATTTTATGAAATGCAAGATGGGGCTCATTTAGCAGAGACCCCAGTAAATGTAAGCTGAGCTCTAAGTTTTTCACTGTGCTTGGGTTTTGGTACAGAATTTGCTCAGTTGGGTGTCTGCTCTTCGTTGTGGGCACGTCTCTCTGCTGAGGACACTTGGCTTTAGGTGCCCAAATGGGAAGGTGCATGGCTCTTTGACCCCAAATCTAGACGTCAAGTTACTTCAGCTTCAAGTTGCTCAAGGTTTTTTCTTGTAACAAGTTGATTTTGACATTTGTTGCACACTGGCTTTTCAGCAGCTTCTGGTTTTCTCTCCCGTTGCTAAATGGTGGGGCTGGGCTGATTAGGAAATGGATTTCCTCTCTCAGGAGGCTGAATAACTGTATGTCTTGATGCTTAGTTTTACTTCACTGGACTATGCTGGTTGTAAAGCTTGTGTACCTACACTGGGTAGTATTAAAAGCTTCTGATAGGCAATGATGACTTTGGTGATCAAATTGACTTTCTGCTGTCATAGGAGTTGTTGAGTCATAATTCATCATTGGTGTATTGGTCACATAAAACGTGGGTGCAGAGGAGGAAACCTTTTGGGTGGTGAGTTAGAGGGGAAAATTCCCTGTTGTCTTGGAGTCTAGCATGCCAGGTTTGCCTTAATACATATTATGGGTGGCTTTTTACTGAAATAAATGTGCAGCTGCTTCTTGTAAATTGGGAGCCTGTGTGCTTCATTAATGGCTGGAAAGTTCCAGCACCTTGTTTCTGGCTTCTTGGGGTTTCATGCTAATGCTGCTTGCCTAAAAGCCAAGGATAAGGAAGCTAGAATTTCACTTGATCTGGGAAGTGGCTCGTAAACTAGCTGAAAGATGATTCCTGGTGGTTTCATGGATAGAGCAGGTGTCTGGTTTCCTATCTTCCAAGAACAGACAAGGTATCAGTGAAAATGGATTCCCAAGCCAATGGACAACAATGCTTGGTGGGCTTTAAAGTGATGGCTGGCTTTTTAAAATGGAAACTTGAGATGATGGCTACAAAACACCCTTAAAGGCAAGATGATGCAGTGATTCTCAAGGCTGAGCCCTGCAAGTTCTCCCTTTGCAGAGCTGCTCTGGAGTGGTGGCACTAGGGAAGGCAGAGGCTCAGGAAAGCTCCTTCCCTTGTCATGGAATGCAAGACCAGTTTGGGAATAGGTGTGTCAGGACTGCTGTGTGTGGTTTGCTGACCATGACCTGCAGTCACTGTGGCTTAAGTGGAGAGAATTAGGTGGTTAAGGTCCCTTCAAACCAAACCATCCTGTGATTATTATTCTTGGTGGGTTTTTATGTCTTCGAACACAAAAGCTGAGTTCTTCTATGACTTTGATTTTAAATAGCTGGAACTTGAGGAAAACAGATCACAAGACAGAGCACAAGATCTATTAATGCTGCAGAGAACATTTTATGTGGTTGTAGTGGATTGGTGGAGTTTATGACAGTGTAATTTGGCACGTGTAGGGGAAAGAAAAAAACCAAAAGGCATAGTTCTGGCTGCAGCATCAAAGGGTTTGATGAAATGGCATTGCATTTGCCTGACTTTATGTTTTAATCAAGTTGTATATACAGATAATGTAGAAATAACAGTGTAATAAAGAGTTGTGGTAATTGATCCTTCTGCTCTTTTCTTCTTTAATTAAAGCTGGCCTTTGCCGGAGTTTGACCCGAGCCAGATCCGACTGATCGTGTATCAGGACTGCGAGAGGAGGGGACGGAATGTCTTGTTTGACTCCAGTGCTAAAAGAAAAATTGAGGATGTTTCAGTGTCGGTGAGTATTTTGCCCATTTGCATGTTTACAGTCAGTGTTTTTTCAGATGGCCAGACTGACAAAGCACATGTGTTTGCTTTATTCACATTGACATTTAAGCGCCCGTTATATGCAGGGCTATATTTAAATGCCTGTTAAGTTGCAAATTATTCAGGCTTCAGTAATTTCACTCTTACCAGATTTAAATACTCTAGTGGTCCCTGTATTCTGGGGCTCATCTGCTTCCTGCTCTTTCAGTGAGAAGGATTCCTTCCTGGGGCTGCAGCAGGCAATGCTGGGGGTTGAGGCAGGGCAGGAACTGGTATTTATGGACCTGCTTTTGTACTGTGCTGGGCTCTGCATTCATAATCAGAAGGTCCTCCCAGTCCTGTGTCCTCTTGTGTCCTGTTTGTTTAGCTTTTGCCAATTGTTGTTTGTATGCTTTGCTGACAGTTTTTTCCCCCACAAAGTTATTTGAAAACTTTTCCTCTGTTTTTCGTTTTGGCATGGTTTGCATGGTAATCTATTAATTGAAACTGTAATGGATGCGGTCAGATGAGGATACTTCCTTCTAAGGGCTCTGGCCAGAAGATTAATTTCTAGCCACAGTGCTATTGTGAGTGGTGGTGTGAGGTTGGACAGCTTATTTCGCTGCTTTGAACTTCCTTTTTACCATCTCTAAAAGCATCCACAAACCATTTTAAGCTCTGCAAGCAGAAAGCATGGTGTGAACTGAAATTTATGATTCCAGTTGCTTTTAACTGTAGGATGTACTGAGGTCCTTCTTTAAGCAGGAGTACACAAAATAACACATTACCCCCAAGCTCTGGTTTTCCTTTGGCTGTTGGAGTACAGCCAGAAGATTGTTCATCCAGCTTTGCAGACTGTTCCAGCCTCTAGCTGAGAGCTGCCAGTCTGATGCTCCTCACCCTGGCCCTGGGTGCTGCCTGTGTCCAATACCCAAACCCCTAAAGTCACTTAGTGTCTTATCAAGCACAAACTTGGAGGCTTCTCCATTGCTTACTCCAGTGCTTTTATAACCATGAATCAAGATCCCAATTTCCTAGTTCTTACAGAGAATTTTTGAAGCAAAGCAAGTTTCACAAATGTTGAAAAAAAATGCATCTTTCTTTTTAATTTGAACTTGTTAGAATGGTTTTATTAGTTCTTGTTCTTTCGGGTGTTCTTGCCAGGAAAACAGGTTGTTAAAGACAAGAGATCTTCACAAATGGTTTATTGGTATGAATTGCTGTCTGTGCTTATCACTATTACCTCATTAGTTATAACGTATTGCTTCATTAATAAAAAAGATGTACAATGTAAATCCTCTTGCTGTATTTATATTAATTTCTTGAAAGCCTCCTTAAGTTGTGTATTTGCACACTGAACTTGCAAACTTCACTGGTTTGGGTTGTTTCAGAAAGTTCATTGGCAGCTTAACAAGAGGATAAATGGCTGATAATGGAGCTGATATGGTTCCATATAAATCTCTCCTTTCTTTTTCTTTGCTAAGGGGGAGGGAAACAGCTGTAGTCACCATCTCTGTGAAATGAGTACATGATACTGGTAGAGAAAACTGTTCCCAGGGCACTTGAAATATCCAGAATTCATCTCTAGAAACTTGATATATTTCTTTTTTTTCATAGTATTAGGAGACTTTGAAAGGGCCGATACCTGCCTCCTGCAGCACTCAGATAATGTCGTGTCAGGCAAAACTTTTCTTGTAAAACAAAACTTTGCAGGTAAAAACGTGCAGGAGAGTCCTGGGCTGGGCTTGCTGTGAGCTCAGCACGGGCCTGTGCAGCCAGCAGGACGTACTGGCCATTTTCAAGGAATTGCATTGTTTATTTTTCTAGCTCTTTATCATGATTTTCCTACCAAAGACACACCCTGCCTATACAAAGCCAGATCTTGGCTCTAAGCACATTCCAAGGCACCCTTGCCCTTTTGCAGCAAGCTGTGTGTGGGCTGGGCACTCTCCCTTCTCAAAGGGTGTCTGTTCAGCACCCCACAAAAGCCAATGCTTTCTGCATCTCTTCCCCCCGACATTTCCCAACAGGATTTATAGCTCTGGATTTACAAATAACACTGAGGGTGGGGGGGAGATCTGCTAAAGTGCCTGTCAGTGCCCAGACTGTTCTGGTTGAAGGCTAATCAGTCTAATGTGCTCTTCAGTTCCCGTTTTCTGTTGTCATGAGACATGAAAGAGTTGTATGCCTCTACAGCAAGGTGAGATTTGTTTTGGTCTGTTTTATGTATCTAATCTCTACATATGTCAAGAGATATGTACAGGGGACCAAGGTTGAACATGACTCAGGCATTTGCATTCTATGAGGGAAGGTATGGTTGTAAAATTTAAGGAGCATCAGAGCAAACCTTTCCAGACTCAGATGTTTCAAGAAATAAACCAATGAGCTCTGAATTTTTGATGAGTGAAAACTGCTGAGTTTGTGCTCACACCAAGCGGGGCTCTAATTAGTTAAGCATTACTAGGTTCATCTTATCCATGAGGGAAATGTGACTAAACACAAATAAGGACTTTGTGTTTTCATTGGGTATTAAATGAGCCTCTTCATGTCTTCAGTAAAGCTAAATATTAGGTAAGCAAGAATTTGGGGAGGGTGTTGCACAGCAGGACACCGAAGGCAGCTCGGAGTTTGCAGCATGGCCATTACAATATTTGAATTGCTCGGGAGAAGTCGTGTTTTCCCCAGGTTTTGCTAGAGTTAAACTTGGCCAGGGAAGCTGAGCAGCAGTCTGGTGACTCGGAGGGCTGGCAGCTCTTCCCAACACCCGGAATGTTGGCCCGGGGCTGTGCCAGGCGTTTGCACCAGGCCAGGCGGAGATCCACCCCGGGCAGCTGTGGGCACTTGGCATGGGGGAGGCAGAGAGATCCCCTTTGTGAGTCCTATACCTTTTTTGGTGCTGAGCAGGAGAGGTCCTTCCCCGCCTTTCCAGGGGATGGGCTATTGATCAGCCGGGCTCTGGAAGCAGAGGGGAAAGGCTGCTGCCTCCCAAGCATCCAAAAATTGGGTACCTCCCATATCTGAGTTCTTCCAGGATATCCTAGAAGAGAGTGGCTCCCCTTTCCAGCCCTGTGGCACCAGGTCATGAGCAAAGGGATCAGAACAGGCATCTGCACATGGAATGTTCCAGGGCAGTGTGGGGTACAAGGAGCAGACATTACTGATGCCTTTGTACACAGCCTCAGGCCCCATCCAAGCGTCCACATCCCTTGGATTTTGGGGTATCAAAGTACTTCTACAGGCAAACTCATGTCTCCTCTAGAGAGTTATTTCTTTTGTTCCTCGTACCAATAAGTGTCTCATTTCTAGTGACACCGTATTACTTGATTTGCAGGTGATAGTGTTAAAATCTGTGACTGGTATCTACTATCATTTCTGTGCTTGTCTGCTCCTTTCCTCCCACACCTCCTCTCCTGCTCTCCTGTGCCCCATGCCAGCCCCTGGGCTGTTCTGAGTTCCCAAGGCAGGAGCTGTGTGTGCTCCTCATGGAGCTGTGGGACTGGGCCTGCTTTGGATTTCAAACCAAGCACAACAAGCAGCTCCTTTTCCTGGTTCAGGTGCAGCAGCCGAGGGGCCCGGCCGGCGCTGGGCTGTCAGCCTTCCCTGAGCCCTGTGCTTGGCTCAGCCTTCCCTGAGCCCT